GACCGGGCGGCGGTTTTACCTCCATTTTGAGACCCAATGAGTTGATTCTGTAGCATGAGAAATGATAAAGCTAATTTTCATTTATTTTTTGCTTCTATTTTAAGTTTTACTTATAGAACTAGGCATTGAGCACTTTCTATTCTTGAAATACTTTTCTAGACACTGAAGATCAGCAATGAACAACAGCAAAAAAATCTCTGCCCAAATTTATATGGCAGTTACTTTCTAGTTTTATTGTTGTTGTGGGGGATTTTGTTTCTGGTAATCAAACTCAGGATCTTAAGCTTGCGAAACGGGCCGTGTGCCACTGAGCTCTATCCTCAGCCTATCTTCTAGTTTAGTAAAACATATTTATACCTCTGTTGCTTTCTATACTGGTTTGAAGTCATTTCATTTTCCCCTTAGCTGTAAAAGCAGCTCCCATCCTGAATTATATCTGTTTTCCTTCCTTTGTTTGTTAATCATTACTCTCTGTAGCTCAGTTTAGGCAATATAAGCCTAAAAAGCATTTTTTTTGTTGTTTGTTTTTGAGAAACTGAGTAACATGCAGAACACAGCTGCGTAAGCAGAAGTCTGTGTGTTTCTAGTATCCCTGTGTCAAAGCCTGCGCATTGGCGCACTTAGGCACCACCTTCAGGAATAATGCCTTTTCTCCACAGATGAGTGACGTGTCTGCAGGGGGAGCCACTGTTTTTCCTGAAGTAGGAGCTAGTGTTTGGCCCAAAAAAGTAAGTGTGGCTTGTTAGGGAGATTTTGTTTTATTTTTTTGTCTCTATTTTTCCCCTATCTGAAGAAAAGACAGACCTATATTTCACTGTCCAATGAATTATGTGCATTTAAAAATGTAGTATACTTAAGGACCTTATCTCTGACTATTTCTAGGCAAAGCTTTGGGTTTCATGGTATACTTTACCATGACTATCTAGTATAAATTGCTTTTTATACGATTTTTTTCCCTTCCATACCACTATTGCTACCTTTGTTTTAACAAACATTCATTTTTTTTTTTTTATCAAGTGACTTTGTGGTACTTTTTATATGATTAAATTTTTATTTTATTTATTTATCTAATTGGTTGTTATGGGGTCTACATCTAAGCTGTGTAGTGATCCTCCTGTTTTCAGCCTTTTCACTGCGGGATTATAGGCATGTGCTACCATGCCCAATTTTGGTAGCCGGCTTAGCACTCCTGGGGGTGGTGACAGGTATTGAACCCTCATCCCTGTGCCTACCCAAGCAGGCACTTAGTCTGAAAGTGCTTAGTCCACTGAGCTATCTTGCTGGCCCAATTAAGTTTTATGGTTTTTTTTGTTATTTTAGGGAAAGGTCTATAGGGTGTTCAAGGTCTCACTACTGGATCAGACTTATAGTGATCCACCTATTTACAGCCTCCCAAGAGCTGGGATTACAGGCATGCGCCACTTTGCCCAGCCTCAATTGCCGGCTCAGTGTGCCCCAGGGGTGGGGCTGGCATGGCAGGCCCAGGGATCGAACCCCTGGTCCCTGTGCCTGCTTGCAGGTGCTTTAATCTGCTGAGCTATTTGACCAGCCCCCCCAATTAAGTTTTTAAAGTAATACCATCAGAATTAAATAAAAGGAAGACATGCTACTGTGGGTATAGAACATTTATATACTGTAGAAAATGATAAAGTAACGTTTTTGTTTGTAGTAATTTTGATTTGTTCTCCACAGGGAACTGCTGTTTTCTGGTATAATCTGTTTGCCAGTGGAGAAGGAGATTACAGTACACGGCATGCAGCCTGTCCAGTACTAGTCGGAAACAAATGGGGTAACTAAGTTCTGTATTCTTGAAGAGTTTGTGATTTTTGTCTTTTTTTTTTTTCCTGGTGGAGAATACCACCATTTATTCAGTATCAGATATTGAATCCAGGGACCTTAAATGAAGCCACAGCCCCAACCCTCTTAATTTGTTATCATGGGCTGGACTCCAGCTTTGATCCTCCTGCCTTGTTCCCCCTACCTCCAACAGCACACATCTGGCTAATTTGTTTCATTTTGAAGCTAATCAATACCTTTGAACACCCTGTCTTCCATAGCTTTGCCTAATATAATGCTAACATTGGATGGATTCCAGCTAAAGATTTCTGATCTTAATATACATTTGTATTGCTCAGATCAGAATTTTGATGTCACATTTTTAAAACTGCATTTCCATTTGCTATTCCAAGAAAGACTGTCTCAGAGTTAAAGAAGACAGTGTCTTTCCCCCGACATGGTTCACACTCAGGTTCACAATAACACTAGCAGAGAAACCAGAATAAGGTGGGAAGCCTTCCTCATATCTTCACTTCTGCATTTGGCTCTAAAGTAGGACAGCAGATGTGTAGGCATGTTAGGGTCCAAGAAAATTGTCAGGCTGGATAGCATGTAGGGTACGGAACGTAAAGGGGCATCTTGCATAGTAAAAAACAGGTGAGCTTTAATAGATATTTACCCTATATGTCCATTTCAGTATGTCACTTTCCACCTGTATCTATCTCTGCTGTTTTAAGAGTGAGGCTTGCTCACCAGGGTTTAAAAATCTTAACTGAAGGTACTGTTTGTGAGCCACAGACTACACTGAGGAGAGGATTCGTGGGGAGCTCAATTTTCAGGACTCTTTGTGTCGTCTAATTTGGAAGTGATGAGAGCCTTTAATAAAGCAGCAGTGATGTTGCCAAGGTCAATACCTTAATCAGGTCTGATGGAGAGAAGAAGGAAGGCGTATGTTCAGCTAGCTCTTGATTATGATGTATTGGTTGTTGCCAACAAAATTGGGATCATCTAAACTTAGTCCAGCTGGCTAATTCTTTTGGATGGGTTTTGTTTTTTTTGTTGTGGGTTTTTTTTGTTTGTTTTGTTTTGTTTTGTTTTGTGGAAGCAGGGATCGAACTCAGGCCCTTGCGCTTGCCAGGGAAGCGCTTATTCCACTGAGCCATCTCCCTGGCCCCAGCTGGCTAATTCTAAATACATACATTTTTCCCCATTAAAAAAGAAAAAAAAAAGGTAGGGGAACCAACAGATTCCAGAGACAAGCAAGGACACTGACAGAGTTTGCTAAGTAGACTGGATGCAAGGGCTGGTGAAGAATAAAGAGCAATGGAGAATGGAGTTCCCCACTTGATTTGGTACATACCCAAGATTGGGTTAATATTAGAGATGGAGCAAGTCTGTTGGTACCAAGGAATCCCCAGGGTATATAGCAGCAGTGATAGGTCAGAGTGTTGTTCCTGTAGATTGGAGCATTAATCTTTAATGTGTCTTGGTTATTTTTGAAAGCAGGTAAAAAATGTTCTGCTCGATCTGTAACTATATCTGAATTCTACTCTCATTTCAAGTCTCATATTGGACACTGGAAACGCATAGACTCAGATATACCTGTATATGTGTGCATACTTATCTACATACATCAGTATGTATGTTGTAAATATGTACAAGATTTTCTGTTTCCAATTTTTAAGTAGCATCTACCTTTATATGGTTTGGGTCTTGAACTTTTAATACACATTGAAACTTTTTCACAGACCATCTTTTAGAAGGGAAGAAAAATATTTAATTATTGTATTTTTTCTCACAGTATCCAATAAATGGCTTCATGAACGTGGACAAGAATTTCGAAGACCCTGCACTTTGTCAGAACTGGAATGACAAGCTGGCTTCCCTGCCCCTCCTGTTGTTGTACTCTAATGTGTCTGATACACACAGTTCCTCGTCTTAACTTTCAAGGTTTACAGTTGACTAACACTCCTTGATTGACACAGCCATGAACCTCACCCCATGCTCCATCTGTGGACGGTCACTTGCTCTTCTTTTTTACAAGTAACACTAAATTGCCACACTTGAAACAAGCTTAAAAGTTCAGTTGGTATAACAGAAGGCAGACTTAAAATGAAAATTTTATATTTTAAATAACTTTTTGGTTGGGCAAATATAATTTAAGCATCCGTTTTAGTATTTCATGACCTCTTCTGGACTGATGTTGGTAGGCAGATGCTGCTCGGTGGGTCGCTAGGTGTCTTGCCAGCTTGTTTTCTGGACTTGTGTGAACCCAAGTAATAAAGCAGGCCTCGATCTGGGCTCCAAGTGATTTTGCCCCTTCATACATTATTATAAGTTGAATTTTCCCCCTATCTCCTCTTTCAAGGAAGTATATTTTGTTTTTCCAATCCTTTTCTCTTTAGCTACTCTGTGGTGAATTAATCCTGTTTGAGTTAAAATAGTTTTTAAAAAACAAAGTTCTGCCTAACCACCGTAGGCCTTCTTAACAAGCTCATTAGTCTGTCCTTCCTTCTTTCTCTTGACTGATGATTTTTTCTGGAAACTTTGTTTTGCCTCTTACTCCTACTACAGCAGGGTGGTGATACTGGCATTCTGATTAAATATTGTGCCTTAGGAGACTGGAAGTTTAAAAATGTACAGGTCCTTTCAGTAATGAGGGAATTGATTTTAAAAGAAAATCTTTTCTTAAAAAGCCAAAATGTTTGTTTTTTAAAAAATTCTGAAATGTGTTGACAACAATAACCTATTTATGATCTTAAATCTTTTTTTAAAAATCCTTCTGTTTTCTGTGTGGTATTTTTCATATTTAAATCTGAATATATGGTAGGACAGTAGCACATTAATTCTAATTTATGTTACCACTTCAGTACACAGGACCTAGGTCTACACTTAGTTCTCACTCACACAGATGCCACATTGTTATTAAAGAAAATTATTAATCTCTGAAACTTCAAAGAGTCTAATCAACCAAAATGTGCTTCATTTCAGTTGAGGGCGCACCTTGGTAGAGCATGACTGGCACAGCCCCTGCGTTTGATCCCCAGTAGCATGAGAAAAGCAGCTCGCTCTTTCAAGAGAGCTCTGCCATGGTGATGGGGTTACTACACTAGTGGTGGTCATGGCTTTCTGTACTCAAAAATAGGTATGGTAGAAAGAAAGATTAAACTTAGACATGTTAACTGATCTTGCAGGCATTATTTTTATCCGGGTATAGAACGAACTTAGAAGTTCCTCTCAAATATCCTTTGCCCCATCATAAATATTTTACCAAATACTGAGAATAGTTCATCACTATCATCCACTCAGATGGTGCAACTACAGATGATTTTAAAAGAAACTTTGGGCTGGAAGTGTGACTCTGGTAGAGCACATATATTTAACATGTGTGTGACCCTGAGTTGAATCCTTGATGCATACATATTTTTTCTAGTTCAGGTAGAAAGAATAGATTCAAAAGTACAGAAATTAAACAGGTTTAAAGAATGTAAAATAAGGATTGTCATTATGTTTTAGTAAATTAAAAAAAAATTACCTATTTCGGAAGGAAATTAGGTACTCCCTGATTTTACAAATTTCTATTATATTCAATTTAGAATCAGTTGTGGTGACTGGTAAATTCTTGTGCAGTAGATCTAATGCAAACTGTCATAGTTACCGGTGGTTTTTTTTTTTTCCAAATTGGGGGCTGAGAGGTTCCAGTATGAAAGTCTGCGTCCAGATGTTATAGTTTTATTTATGCTGACCTTTCAATTAAATGAGATTTAGAACTATCTTAGAAAGTACAAGTTTCCTTACCAATTCCAAACCTGTCCCTCAAGATTACAAGTTTTGTCATGACTAACTTACTACTCATAAGTATCCACCAGAATGTCTCAACAGCAGGAAAGGTCATGCGATCACTAGGTAAGAACCTTGTAAGACTAGAAAGAGAATGAAATGACTTAGGATTCTTAGGCTGAATGATAAATGCAGCGATGAAAGCAACAGCTATCTATTTCATTAAAAATAAAATGGTTACTAGCATGTGAGGAGAGCTGTAAGCAGTAAAATAATGTGACATACAGACTACTTCATACACATGTATGTGTTTAAGAATGGAAGAAGACAACATCCACAAGGATGTCCTGAAACCTTACAGCTCAAAACGAGCAGCTGCTGTGCAGGACACCACACTTGAGCAGCCACGTGATTGGGAAACTTACAGGGTAACGCTGAAATACGTACATGTGATCGGGTATAAATTATTTGGTCAGAAACAAACATTGCTAGGAAAAAGAAAATTGCATTTTAACCTGGATAGCCAATAAGACAGCCAATGCTTTGGTAGCACCTGCTTCTTCTATGGTAAAAGTATTTTTAGAAGGAATAATATAGAAAGGAACAAATTATCAACACTAGGTTTTTATAAATTACCAGATTTATCAGAATAAAATAGATATCATGTTTCTGTTCTCATAATGTTCTTAGGTATCTTCCCACCACCCTGATGGTGTTTTGCAAAGTTAACTGTTAAACCAGTAAAGTTCTTGGCTGCTTCATTTTGTAACTTTTACTTGAGAACTTTAAGTTTTATTTTCTGTACAAATGTTGCTTTCAGTGAAACATAAATTCAACACGAAAGGACTGACCTTTTCCTTGCTTCCCTAAGCCTGTCTTCCATCTTCTGCCTCTGGGACCGTTGGTGAAGTCCCTCTGTGGCGCTATTCTGCTCAGATTAATTGTACAAAACAAGATAATTGCTGACTTGGACTCCTAAAACCTGAAAAAAGAAATCCTCAGATTTTGTTAGTCTGTATAATTCCAAAATTAGGCTTATTTCTTATATAAACTTGTTTTAAGCTAAGCACAGTAAGAATTCAGATTAGAGGAGAACATTTTAAATACAGAATGAGGTGCCCTTAGCACTGCAGTGCTCTTCAGGGAGCAGGAGTATATCAAGTCAGTCTTAGGCATTCAGTTCACGTCCACAAAGAACTGGAAATATAATATTTAAAGTCTCCCATGTAAACTGTTACAATGTAGGTTTTATATGGGTTTAGATCATCATGGTTTACATCATATAAAATACATAATGGTTCACTTGTAAAAACACTGATGTTTATACACTTAATCCTTTGATATGTGTATAATCATTATAGTTAAGACATAAGGGCTAGGGATTTAGCTCAGTGGCACAGTGCCTGCCTGGTAAGCACAAGGTCTGGAGTTTGATTCCTGTTAACCACTCCCCACACCCCAAAAAATCTTAAGACATGAACTAACACATAAACATTTATGTTCTATTTTTACTTGTAAAAGCAAAAAATTGAGGTCCTGTGATATGAAGCACATTTTAGGTTTTGTCACGAGACAAGTCTACTAAAAATAGTGCTCTTTCCTACAGAATGGAATATTAATATGTTTATTTTAGACATACTTATTAGACAGCTTATATGAAACCAACAAATTTGTTGGATAAGACAAATTACCAAACTCTACTCAAGAAGAAATAGTCTGATCATCCCCTTATTGAGAAATGGAATGATTCAAAATATACTACAAAGCAAAGTTGAGGCCTAGATGGCTTTACATGTGAATTCTATCAAATTTGTAAGGGCCAATACCAACCCTACACAAACTGCTTCAGAAAAAGAGGATGGAAAGTTTCCTACTTTAAGGGACAAGCCTTACCTGGTACCATAACTTCAAAGGAAGAAACCACCAATTAATATCTCTCAAATATATAAAATACCTTAACAAAGTATTAGCAAGTCCAATCTAAGAAAATGCCTGTGTTGGGTTTCATTAAGAAATATGAGGCTGATTTAACATTCAAGATTCAGTGGAGAGTGGGCACAGTGGTGCAGGTCTGTAGTCCTAGTACTCTGGGAGGCTAAGGCAGGATGCACAGGCTTGCAGCTTGAACAACTTAGCAAGACATTGTCTCAAAATGAAAAGAAACATCAGGCGTGTAGATGAATGTTAGCACCCCTAGGTTCAATCCTCAGCACTCAAAAAGAAAAAATACATAATTCATCATAGTAGCAGGACAAAGGAGAACATAGTACATGATCAATAGATGCAGAGAAAGCATTTAACAGAATTCAATACCATTAATGATTTTTAAAAACCGAGAAACAAACTTCCTCAACTTGATAAAAGGCTCTCCAGAAACCTTGGTGCTATCATATTTAAGTGGTAAAGACTGAATACTTACTCCCTATGTTAGGAAAAAGGTAATAGTGTCTTTTACTGCTAGTCAGTGCAATAACATAAGGTTACTGAAAGAAATGAACAGCGTGCATATTGGGAAAGTAATGTCTTCATTCATAGATGACATGGCTGGCATCCTAGTAATGTCTCTTCCTGCTGAGGTAAAATACCCAAGACTCAGAACTTGAAAGGTTTTGTTTAGCTCACAGTTTGTGCAGATTTCATTCCATAATCAGCTGGGTGGAAGACAGCAAAAGCAGCAAGCAAGGAGAGAGGGGACAAAGGCTCTTACTATCCCTTACATTGAATGCAATCTACCCACCCCCGGGCAGGTGTAGCACTTACACCCTTAGTCTCAGCGTCACACTATGAATCACACACTCTAGATTCGGCTACCTTGGAAAAAGCCCCATCTAAAACCACATGAGGCTTGGGGGACACATCTACACACAAAAGCTTAAAAACAGTTTGTGAAAACTCATGCAGAATCTATAACAAAGCCTTTAAAAGCTAACAGGTTAGCAGCAGTGCACAATACAAAGTTCATACACTAAAATGGATGAGAACCAATTCTGAAAAACAGCACGAGGGGGATGAGTTGAGTAGGATACTTGCTAGTGTCACGTGCACATTCAAACCCCAGCAGCACAAGATAAGCATGAAAACACTGTGTAACAGCTCAAATCTTACACCTCAGGTTAAACAAAATAGGTACAAGAGCTATCCATTAAATATAAGATGCTGAGAAAATTAGAGAAGCTCTGAATAAGTGGGGATTTATATCATGTTCATGAGTCATGTTTCGATATTGCCCCCAAATTAATCTGTAGATTCAACCCAATCCCAATCCCAATCCAAGCAAGTTTTCTTTCATTAGGGTCATTAAAAAATGTATATGGATATATAAAGGGGCCTACAATACACAGTAATTTCAGATAGGCATAAAGTTGGGAGATTTACATGACCTACTTTAAAGATTTTATAAAGCAACAATAGTTATGATCATGTGCCTTTATGAGAATGGACACACAGACTGAGGAGATAGCTCGGTGGTCTTAGCACCTGCCCGGCAAGCACGAGGACCCAGGTTCAACCCCAGTACCGTATGCCATGCCAGCCACCAAAATTGGGCTAAAACACTTGTGAGTGTTCCTGATAGCCCAGACTGGAAACAACTCCAACTTGCACCCACTGGGGAATGGATAGACTCATTGTGGCGTATCCATTCAACAACAAATTTAAAGAGAACAAGTGATATATGCAGGGGTATATACGAATCTCAAAGAACAGCTAAGTGAAAGAGGCCAGGGACAAAAGAGAAAATACTCCATAGTCACATTCACATGACACTGTAAGAATGAAATCTAGTACTAGAAACAGATCAATCCTCACCAGGGACAAGAGTGTGAGCTGACGTGAAAAGGGACATTATAAGGTGATGAAATGTTCTGCATCCTGGTGGTGGTGGTTATTCAGGTACAGACATTTGTTAAACATTTGACAGTACACTTAAAGAGTAAAATTTTTTTTTTTTGGCCACACCAAGGATTGCACTTGGAACCTTACACTTGCCAAGCAGGCAAT